TTAATGTACTGATTTGAGTAAACAGATACATGCGTTTGACGGGTTGCAGTGATTCAGTAACATAATCAACTAGCTCATAAATAGGACCGTTACAGTTGTTCCTCTATAAAATGATATTTTAAATAGGATCGAACAAACAAAGAAATAATACACTAAGTGAAAATACAACGCAACTTTATTATTTAGAACAGCTGTATTGATACATATATGTGTTAGAAACAGTGTAACTTAATTCGTGTTAAAATCATTCTATAATCACCCTAATATAATAAAAAAAGGCGTACTAGAAACACCTTAATCAAATGAAAAGTAATAGTAGGTTTGTTACTATTATAGGTAGTTTTATTATTAATAATGACATCACTCTATAAACTATTAAATTAAAAAAAAAAACAAAAAGTAAATATTTTAATAAAAATAATTCAATAGTTTTGATAAATTAGATTAATTCTTACTTATTATTATTATTATTATTTTTTAAAATTTTTTTTACAAGGAGTTGCGAAATCCTTTTTGCGGATTCCCCTTAGTCTTTCTGACTGAGGGCTTATGTGGGACTCCCCGAAAAAAAAATAGGCCTACCCACTAAACCGCCATCTCCTTGATGTCCTTCCCCCCAGCCAGGGACTATGTTGATATTACTTCTGATTGGAGGTTCTGTCTGTGTTCGTCCGTTCGTGTCGTTCCTCCGTATCTCGTTACGTCGCGTTACTTCGTCTGCTCAGTCATCTGTCAGGCAGCCGTCCGTGTTCTTACGTCTCAGTATAGTTTCCGTATAGGTACCGACTAAGTGCCACCATTCGGGTTCACGCAGCATCAGAGCCACGATGTTATCGGGGATGATGCTGCCGACTGTTTCTTCCAGTTCCTGTCTGAGTCTTGTCCAGCGGTCATACGCGAAAAACGTGTATTCCGCGTCATCTCGTTCGTGTCCACAGTACTTACAATTGGGTGTTCGTAGTCTGTTCATATTGTAGAGGTACCGTCGGAAGTATCCGTGGCCCGTCAAGAGCTGGGTGACGTAGAAATTTACATCACCAAATTTCCTTCCGAGCCACAGCCTCAAGTCCCGTATCAATCTTTCGTCCTATGTCCGCGCTGCTCCCATAGATCCTTTTGCGTTGAAAGGCCAGAAGATCCACGGGTATTACGCCAGCCACCACCAAAACAGCCTGCGCAGAGACTGTTCGGTAGGAGCAAGCGATTCGCAGTGCGCCCTGTCTCTGTACCATCATCATCGTCTTACAATATTTTTTTGTATTCAGGGAGTCTGCCCATATTTCCGCGCCGTATGTTCCGTATTTACCACTGCTAGATCGAGCCTTGCGGCCATTTCCAGCAGTAGTCGTCCGCGTCGATTCGTTTCGTTCATTCCCTACTCGGTCGCCCTCGCGTTAAAATCCCCCGCAAATATGACATCCCCGGGCAGGTCCCTGATCCCGTCTTCTAGGAGTCCCACCTTCCTTTCGAACTCCATCGCGGTGCAGTTGGTTGTCAGGTACGCGATGAGATAAGTGACAGCGCCAACTGTGACCCAGACGTAGTCGTCCCCGACACCGCGATTGGAGACTCTAGATTGGGTGCCGCCCCGTACCCAGATAGCAGTGGTCTCTGTCTCGTTTGTAATGTATGTCTGGGTCGTCCTTCTTCTGTATGGTTCACTCAGAATCAGGATGTCCGCGTTATATTCGTCGGCCATCTGAGGTAGGAGCATGTCTGTAGTCCTACTTCGATACAGGTTTCCCTGTATTATTTTGTCCGTCCTCTGATCCGCCCCCTGCACTCCTCCAGCGCGGCCCGGAACACGACACACCTGCCGCCTCCGGCGAGGTGGGCGACGTCCCCGTGCCCGGCCTCGGAGCACAGTGGGCAGACCGGCTTGCTTTGGCATTCCGTCGCGTAGTGTCCGGATGTGCTACACTTGCGGCAGCATTTCGTTCTATCCTTGCCTGTGCATTCAGTTTTTACATGGCCGAAGCCCAGGCATCTGTAACATTTTGTTACCGTCAGTCGTTTTTGAACGCGGCAATGCACCCAGCCAATTCCGATCCGACCACGCCGAAGCAATGCATCGGCTTCCCGCGATTCTAATTCGCAGACCGCCATATACTGCTCAGCTCGGTTTGGACCGAAAATATGGACTCGAAAGTCCGTGTCTCGTCCCGTCTCTCGTCTAAGCGCGTCCGTCTCCTCTTTCGGAGTCGCAACGCAGTCCAGATCCATGATCTCCAATTGGACCTTGGAGGTCACAGCCCTGACACTGCCCGCTTCCCCGATCGTGTCTTGGATCTGTCGTCCAAATATCTCACGTCCGACCGGCTTGTCTGCGTCTACCTGTAGCTTCAGAAGACATAAGCCGTTCTTCATCTTCCTCAGGGTTGTCACCTGCACGTGGCTCTCCTTCGGGTCGATCGTCGTCCGTATTTTCCGTACTATGTCAGAGTACTTCGCGTCCGTGCCCGGTCTGATCAGGACAGCCAGACCCCTTTTCCGGTGGGCCGGTCCCCTTCTGTCAGGCCGATTCTTTACGTCCATTTTCTTTTTTGTCTTGTCTGATCGTTTTCGTGTTACCGTCTGCCAGTCCTTGGTCGGTTCGATCGTCGGTGGCCTCTTTTGTGAGGGCTCCGGCGTGGTTCCAACCGGCGAACGTTTTCGTTTCGTCCGTGGCGTTTATTCGTTATTCGCCGCTGTCCTGTCTGTATTGTTGTTGTCTTGGAAACGTCTTTCCGAAACTGTGTCCGATCGCTTGTGCAGCGCGATGTCCACAGTCTCAAGAATCGTCTTAATTCCCGTCTTCACTGTCATGTTCATGTTCTTTTGTATGTTTGCTGCCTTGGCCATTTTCGTCGCCGTCTCTCGTATGAGCCGCAGCAGTTCCGTCACGTCTCGTGTATCGTTTGTTATTGTCGGTGTTCGTCCTGTCGTTGGTTCTTGGCTGTCAGCGGCAGAGGCGTAGCTCACCCCGCTGCCGCCGCTTGACACACTGTCCGTCCTCTGTCGTCTCGGTAAGTTCAGTAGGTTCGTGTCGTTTTTTCGTGTCTTTCTCCCCATTCCCGTGCACAAAGTACGGCCCTCAAAATCCGTGCCGCTGCCCGTGGCCACCGGAGCTTTCACCCGATCGGAACCCGGGGTGGATTCCTCCTGAGAAGAAGTTACCACTTGAGGTACATTAGTGTTTTCATTGTGCATATTCATATTTATTGTTTTGTCCCGTTGTGCTGAAGGTCCCTCGTGGTCGCGACTCCACGAACCGCGCTGGGATAACGCACGGCCCTTGAGGTCCCCCCCCCCTGTATGTTTACCCTGTGTGTTCAGTGTTCCCCCCTGTGGTGTGTGCGTGTATGTAAGTGCCCATAGGCAAAACCGGGCTTCGTTCACGGGGAGAGCCCATTTAGAGAGATCCCCTTCACTCGCTTTCGGGCGGCTCCGTTTATAGGAGTCCCCTACCATTCGCTTTTCGGTAAGACCCGTTTATAGGGTCGCCGAGCATTCACTTCCCCGTTTTGCCAGGAGGCCTGTGTGTGTGAGTGTTTGCGTAGTGTGTGTGTGTATGTGTATAAGTGATTAATGGTTGGACACATCAGCAGAATACCATTATTTTTTGCGTCATTTGTGAGCCATATCTTCCTCTTGGCCGTGTCCGTTATGGCGTTGCTGCTCAGAGCATTGACGCGACGGACAACGTTTCCACCGGGCACGTCGTGGACGTTGGAAGCTAGCATTTGCCCAGTGAGGTGTTACCACTCACTGGACCAGCCCGGCATTATTATTATTATTATTATTATTATTATTATTATTATTATTTTTTTTTTTTTTTTTTTTTACAAGGAGTTGCGGAATCCTTTTTGCGGATTCCCCTTAGTCTTGATATCTAAGGAGGTATGTGGGACTCCCCAAAAGAAGACAGGCCTACCCACTAAACCGCCATCTCCTTGTTGTCCTTCCCCCAGCCAGGGACTATGTTGATATTACTTCTGACTGGGGGTTCTGTCTGTGTTCGTTCGTTCGTATCGTTTCACCGTGCGTCGTTACGTCGCGTCAATCCGTCTGCTCAGTCGTCCTTCAGACAGTCGTCCGCGTTCTTACGTCTTAGTATGGTTTCCGTATAGGTAGTGACTAAACGCCACCATTCAGGTTTATGCAGCATCACCTCTACAATGTTATCGGGGGTGATGTTGCCAACTGTTGTCTCTAGTTCTCATCTGAGTCTTGTCCAGCGGTCGCACCCGAAAAACGTGTGTTCCGCGTCGTCTCGTTCGTGTCCACAATACTTGCAGTCGGGTGTTCGTACTCTGTTCATATTGTGGAGGTACCGTCGAAAGTACCCGTGACCCGTCAAGAGCTGGGTGACGTAAAAATTCACATCACCAAAATTCCTTCCAAGCCACGGTCTCACGTCCCGTATCAGTCGTTTCGTCCATTTGCTACCTCGTTCTTCTGTCCATCGGTCTTGCCACATGTCGATCGTCCTTTCGCGTTCAACGATTGCCGCGTTCTTTCGTCCTATGTCTGCGCTGCTCCCATAGATCATTTTGCGTTCAGAGGCAGGAAGATCCACGGGTATTACGCTCGCCACCACCAGGACAGCCTGCGCAGAGACTGTTCGGTAGGAGCAAGCGATTCGCAGAGCGCCCTGTCTCTGTACCATTGTCATTGTCTTACAGTACTTCTTTGTCTTCAAGGAATCTGCCCATATTTCCGCGCCGTATAAGAGGATCGAGTGAGCTGTCGCCATTAGCAGTCGCCGCTTTCCTGGTCTCGGTCCTGTCGTGTTTGCCATCAGGCGGCTCAAGGATGCTATCCTCTCTGCCGCTTTTCGGGCTGTCTTCTGTATGTGAGGCCAGAAGGTCATCTTCGTATCGAGGGTTACCCCAAGGTACTTGACTTCCCCCTTGGTCTCCGTTTCGTATGTACCCACTCTCATGGGTAGTATCGTCTGTATGCATCTTCTCGTGAGAAGCATAAGTTCCGTCTTTTCTGTTGCGAGTTGCAGTCCGTGTTCTGTCATCCATCGTCCAACTCGTCTCATGGTCTGGTTCAACGTCAGCTGCGCCAGCTCGGGAGATCTCTCCGTGATCACCGCCGCCACGTCATCAGCGTAGGCGACGAGGGTCACTCCGAGTGGCATCCCAAGCCGAAGCAGACTATCGTATAGACCATTCCGAAAATCGGGTCCCAGTATCGACCCCTGAGCCACCCAAGCGGTGACCTGTCTCGTTACCTGTCCTTCGATCGTCTCGTACGTTATTCGTCTGTTTCTCAGATAATCCTCCACAACCCGAACCAGGTACGGTGGGATCCGGAAGTTACTTTTCAGCGCCTCCAGGATATCCACCCACCTGGCCGAGTTAAAAGCATTTCTGATGTCGAGCGTCGCTAGCAGCACAATGGGTCGCGCCGCATGGCAGTGTCTGTCTAGTTCCAGGAAAGAATCAATCACCTTTTGGATCGCTCCAATCGTCGACCGACTCCTCCTGAAGCCGAATTACAAATCTAAGAGACCCCCTCCGGCCTGTATCGCGTCCGTCAGTCTCGGTCTGAGTAATTGTTCAAAGAGTTTACCAGTAGTGTCAAGTAAACTCAACGGTCGGTAGGCCGAAGGAGTGCCAGGGTCGCCCTTACCTTTTGGAATAAGAACGAGCCTCGCCTCCTTCCACCGATCGCTGAACGTTCCTGTCGTCAAGCACGTAATTATTATTATTATTATTATTATTATTATTATTATTAATTAGTAATAACTATTTGGTTAATTTAAAAAATTATTCTAGATTTGTTTTAAAATAAAACGAATAAAAATAAATTTTTCAATTAAAAAAAAAAAAAAAAAAAAAAAATAGTTTGAAAATAATCGCGCGACGACTCAAATTGTAGCTTTTGAAATTGTCGACAACTTTTATCTTAAACTTTTTCAGGTAAAATACATACCGTGGCTTGCAGATTGAAATAATCTGTTTTCGATAACTTTGAACCCTTATAAAAAAAAAAAAAAAAAAAAATCTGACAGAAATCTTAAGTTGCATTTTATATAGAGTTTCTATTTGCGTTACTCCGAAGCGATTTACGTTGGCTGAATCCATTCTTTAATTTTTGCACAAAACAGGCCTTTTTTGTCTCTGTTGATAAGACGAAGTGAGTAAAAGGTATGTTTTTTTAAATGATATTTAAAATTAGAAGAAAAATGTCATAAATAAACTTATAAAAAGTAAACTTTTTATGAATGATAGTACTTTTTTCATAAATAATGTATTGATTGCATGTCATAGATACATACACAGAGAAAATTAAGATTTAAAATGTAATATCATTCGCTTTCTATTTACTGAAAATTCCAATCATTACAAATAAAATTTAGCATCAAGGTACTTTTCGTGATTAAATATTTTTATTTCTCTGCGTAACGTTATGAAGCATACATAAATATTTATTAAACAAAATTTCAAATAACTTCTCATGATTTTTTTAAAACTTTGTTGCTTTGTTTGCTTTTATTTATTGAAATGTATTTATAAGTTATTATTTGCTTACTTTCGTGTAAAAAGCTCAAGTCAAGTAGATTTTCACCATTAAAGTTTGGATTGAAGTTCCGAAAAGTTCTAAGTGAATTGAAATATACGTCAAGAAACCTTTCAGAAGTTACGCCTTTCAAAATTGTAAGGCAATTCAATTGTAACATAATATAATTTTGATAAATTTCAAATTTCTTTTTGCCATATTGCCCCGCTCACCAACGCCGATCAAGGACATTGTCTGTAACAAAGCCACATCGAGCATCGGTACTCAGTATTAGCAACCAAAACACCCGGTGAGATAGCCGCGGAGGGGAAAGGCACGCGGACGAGAAATAGAAGCAAACAGGGCGAGCGATCTCTCTGATCGCTTTACCTGTCACAAGCGGACAAAAATACGAAAGAAATGATACTGGAAGGTATTACGTATGTCCGTTTTGTATCTAATTATCCATTTCTGATAATTAGACATGATTTTATTTTTTTATTTTTTGTATAAAATCACCTGACTTCAGCTCCCAGCCAAATTTCCCCTAGTATTTAGAAACAAAAAAGCGGTATCCTAATCTCTTTGTTATGTCTTTAGTTTCAATTTCAGCATAAACGCAAGACCCCAGCTTGTGATAGGAGCTCGAGTAAAATTTTTTTCACAATGCTTAAAATGTAATCAATGTGCGCCGTTTTAATCGCTTTCGTTGTTTAGCTAATATAAATATTAAGAACTATCAAGATCAAGAGCTAAAAGCAGCCGTGGCTCAGTTGGTAAAGCTACGAGTTGTGTATCAATAGGAGGCGAGTTCGATTTCCCGTAATGTCTCTATATTTTTTTCGCTCAGCTAAATCTGCATTATGTTCTATACACATATTGTAACGGGGATTTATCCCGTTGACAGAAATAATATAAAAAAAAATGAATTAGGGCTCGGTCAGACAGGAAAGCTTAGCTAAAGCTTTTTTTTTAGGAAAGCTTGTCTCCTACCTAGTACTCCAGTTCAACAGGTGTTGCCGGGGCGTCGTGGCTTCAATGACAGGTCGAAGCGCTAGACTCGCACACCTAAACCTGAAACTCAAGGGATCGGCAGGGTAGGCGTATTAATAGATAAGGAATAAGTCGCGAGAAAACAGTAAACGGCGTATTTATTTGCAATAGTACGATTGTTACAACGAACAAGCAAAAATATATATATATATACATAGGTGGCAAAGCAGAGAGAGAGAGAGAGAAAGAGAAAGCGAGAAGCCAATTTAAGAGAGACAAAAGGTAGGCAACGGTACTTACAAATCGTTGCCCCGAAGATGGTTAGCAGCAGGCGTTCAACAACAAAAAGGGCCTCCAAAGAGGTAGGCGCAGGTGGCAAAAGGCCGTCGCACGCACACAGTTATTACGAACAATGCTTCTCCCACACACAGACACTGTCCTCTCTTTCCTGTCCTTCGACTCTCCAAGCTCTCCTCTCCTGGGTGTCGCAGCCCGTCTTGTCGCCGAAAATTTGAAAAAAGGCTAAGGTTAAAAAAAAGGTGCACCGGTATTTCCTCTCTCTCTCTCTCTCTCACACACACACACACACACACACTTACAGCCGGCTGGATCATAGTGATACGTATTAATATATGTTTAATTTATAAGGGTGTATTAGGATATGGGAAAGAGAGACATAACGAGCAGGAGTCGCGCTCGTTATAATATATATAAATTATATTACATAAGTAAATTAAATTAAATTAAATTATTCAAATAAATTTTAATATATATTTAAAACGCATTTCACATTAGGAGCGGTGGGGAGAGGGCTCTCTGATAGCTCATGCACTTCAGATCACTGATCTGAGGCCCTCTCTGATTTTTGGCTTCTCTAGTTTAGCTACTAATATATCTTTGACGAATAGTTACGAAATTTCATACCGATATATTCGAAAATCGAGCATACTTAAAAATCGAAATTTCTCTTGAAATAAAAAGCATAATTTAATTTAAATGAAACCTTCAAAAAATAAAGTAAAAGTATTATATTATTTCAGAATAATTATCTGTACGTTATTTGTGAGTACAAGAATGTTTTTAATCTCAAGAACTATTTACAAATATTTGCTAATCTCTAGTACCGTTGAATCACCAGCATAATTGTTATCATCTTTTTCTTTTGTATTGTCAACACTTATTAATTTTATTTACTATTCATAATATACTTGTTTATAGCAGTACTCCCAGCGATCAATTTTTCACAATATTGCCTATTAAGTTTATTAATGGCATCTCTAGTAACGAGTTTCATACCGTGAATAAGCAAAGGTTTGCCGTTGTTATTGTAAGATTCTTATCACTCACTCTTCCATGTATACCATCCGTACAGCCATTTTAGATGAAAGTTGTTTACGACAAAGGGGGCCATCTATCTGTATAATTAGTTTTGACCTTGAACATCGTTTTCAAGGTCATTTGAAGGTCGAATTGTTTTTTTTAAATGAGAACCCCTATTTTTGACATCGGATTCGAAAAGAGCGGGAAATTTTACGTCCACAAAGATATTTTAAAATTTTTTTTCATGGCCTTGAGAAGGTCGATTTAAGGTCAAATGCTTGAAAAACTGCCTAAAAGCGTTTTTTTTAATTTTTAAGATATCGAAAAATGACCTCTACAAAATTTGTTCAGAACAGAGTGGGCCACCCAATGCCCCAAAAACCTTTGACCTTTAACCTCATTTTGAAGGTCATTTCAAGGTCGAAATATTTTTTGTAATGGAAACCCCTCTTTTTGACCCCGAATTCGCACATAGCGCGAAATCCGACGTTTGGGATAAGGTATTATGTTGAGTTTCGATTGATCCACGACGTTCATCGCTAAGGTCATGTGAAATTTAGATCCAATATTATTCGCGAAACATTTACAAAATGTTTCGGGCTAAATTTATTAAATTCTACTGGGAGCACGTCGTGGATCAATCGAAACTCAACATAATACCTTATCCAAACGTCGGATTTCCCGCTATGTGCGAATCCGGGGTCAAAAATAGGGGTTCCCATTTAAAAAAAACAATTCGACCTTTAAATGACCTTGAAAACGATGTTCAAGGTCAAAACTAATTATACAGATAGATGGCCTCCTTTGTCGTAAGCAACTTTCATCTGAAACATTTTTCACAAAAACACGAATTTTCGATTTTAAAATGGCTGTTCGGATGGTCTGGAACACCCGGTATAATCCGTTCTAAATAGAAGGAGTTTTGATTTGGAGTTTTGGTGATATGCTATTTGGAGTCGTGATGATATGCTATTAGAATATACGACCTATCAGACTGACTTGTGACTTGTGTAACAATTTTATTCATGCATTGTACTAGTAATATATGGGTAATTCTTGGCTATTTCGATTGACTTGTAACCCTTAGGTTACGGATTTTTTTTTAATTTGGCACAATTGTTGTACACATAAAACTGAGATTTTTCCCAAATTTTGGAGACGATACATTAATTATATCAAAAGTTATTAACAATTAAAGAAAAATGATAAAAAATTTTCAAACGGCTATATTTTAAAAACTAATAAAGATATCGAAGTCGGATTTTTTTCAAAATACTTATAATGCCTTAAAATTTCGGAATAATTACAACAATAAACAATAAAAATTTTTTTTCGAAAGTTATTAACTTTTTGTTTAAACAATTGCTAATATCTCAAAAAGTATATTTTTTTTTTGAAAAATTCTTGCTCCTACGTATTCCTGAGGATTTTTGCTATCGAAATCATTCATAAAATTCAAGGGCCCGACATATCGGAAAGCGTAGCCCTAATCAAAAGAAGACGCCTCGGCGTAAGGCTGCGGTAGCGCTCCAGCGGACTCACGGTCGAAAGCGACCGGACACCGAGGCATCTTCTTTTGATTAGGGCTACGCTTTCCGATATGTCGGGCCCTTGAATTTTATGAATGATTTCGATAGCAAAAATCCTCAGGAATATATAGGAGCAAGAATTTTTCAAAAAAAAAATATACTTTTTGAGATATTAGCAATTGTTTAAATAAAAAGTTAATAACTTTCGAAAAAAAATTTTTATTGTTTATTGTTGTAATTATTTCGAAATTTTAAGGCATTATAAGTATTTTGAAAAAAATCCGACTTCGATATCTTTATTAGTTTTTAAAATATAGCCGTTTGAAAATTTTTTATCATTTTTCTTTAATTGTTAATAACTTTTGATATAATTAATGTATCGTCTCCAAAATTTGGAAAAAATCTCAGTTTTATGTGTACAACAATTGTACCAAATGAAAAAAAAATCCGTAACCTAAGGGTTACAAGTCAATCGAAATAGCCAAGAATTACTCATATGTACTTTTTACATTAGATACAGAAGATAATTTTCTTATTATGTGAATAATTATTCCGTAAATAACTATTGGTCAGTATAATTTACCATTTTTTTCTCAAATATTTCTGTCATAAATAAAAAAACTTACTCAAAACTCTGAAAATAGAACTTCTAAGTTTTCTTACTCTTCATTTACTTTAGCACATAAATACTCTTTTGAGTTGAAAAGTTCATACATCTAGGTGCCTGAATTTTTTCAAAATACAGATCTGAATATCTCTAACTAGGCCGATTTCTAAGTTTCATTAGACAAAATACGTTAAATGACTTTTTTATTTGTTTCAATGAAATAACAGCGTCATTGGTTTTTATTCTATGATACGCGCTTAGCAGTATCTCGTTTTTGACTTTATACCTCGAGTTATAAAATACTTTTATATATTATATTTCTAATATACAGTTTATTGTTCATAGTCAATGTAAAAGTCACTTGATTCTTAAAAAAATATTAAAGTGGCAAAAGTGTAAGAACGAATAATAAATAAACGTGCAGATTTTCAAGTTTCGCACTTCACAATAACATGATCAAATTTTGCATGCTTGTTGTTTTACCATTAATAAGCCGTGGCTCATTAGAATTGCGTATTATTGGTTGACTGTGTGTGTTTGAAAATATCTGTATTAAATTTTACACATTTTTATATCAAACGGTACGAACGTATGTACGCAAAATATCATTTTATGACGCTGGATAGGTGATGAGAAAATATTAATAGGGATTTCCTCGGTCTCGTCCAGCTGTCGACATCCAGCTGCATGAGCATCTTAGACGTTTTATGAACCGCGAAGGTGCAGAAGAGCTGCTCGGAACGTGGGCAGAGGTGGCTTAATGCCAAAGGGCCTATGGAAAGGCCTTACTGGGGGTGGATAATGGACAGGAGTCCTCTGCAGCGCTCCCGGCGACGGCTCAAGAGAAGAAACCACACCGGATCGGAAGGCTGCTCAAATCCGATCGCAGCTGAGGGGCTGCTACATCTGCGGGCAGCCTGGGGTGACCAACTTCCAGCGGTGCCCGAGGAAGGCTACACAATGGCGATACCCAAAGCACAGAGCACCAGGTGTAGCTAAGAAGTAGTGTAGGCCTTGGAGGGCCATGAATAAAGTACCCCTAAAAAAGAACGAAAGATTTTAATCATTTGGTTCCTTTCCTCCCTTTCTTTTTCAGGTTCCTGATGACGGCGAATCGCGGGTATTCGTCCTGTCAGGGTAATCAGGACTTGAAGGGGGCTGCAATGGTAGTCCATTCGATCAATCGGTACGTTCGCAATTCGGTAGCACTCGCAATGCTAGAGCGAACGTCTAAGAGAGAGAGAGGACGCGCGAGAGTTCAAAATTGCAGTTAAGTCTAAGCTATTGCTTGTAAGAGTACCACTAAATTACTTTCTACTGTGTTATGCCGTTTTTCTGATAAAAGTTATCTTCCTGGGTTCTTTTGGATAGGTGCGTGAGTGATCACAGACAATAGAAGTCGCAGCAAAATGCAGCAGCAGCGAACAGCAGCATTAATTGCAGCAGTCTCCAATCTTCGTGACCGAGGCAGCGTAGCTGGTTTCAGAAGAGGACCAATATTCGATTTTCTTGAACAATTACGGCTGATCACCGTAATTGCACCGCAGGGTAAATGCACCTCCCTTTTTCTGCGCGACAAAATACTGACGAAAGTATTTTGTCAATCGCGACCGTTTATTTTTTGTATTCGTGCCGAGCGTTAGTTTTTTCGCTGTAGAATTTTGAATTCTCTCTCTCTCTTTCCCGGTATTATTGTTACACATTGTAAATCCTATTCGCGAGCTTGAGTCTTTCGGCATCAAAGACTGTAGTGTTCTAGTCATCAACGATTTTGATTTTATTCGTCGCATTACGTTATTTCGTTTTCTTTAAGTTTAACGGCTCCGTCACCGGTTCATTTTTAAACCGATCTCATCTAGGAGATAATTAAAGTAAACATTAGGTTCCTCACACTTAAGATAGATCGAGTGTCACAAGTCAGGTGACTAAACCCTTTAACGTGCAAATAGCCAACATTTTAACGTCAACTTCAAGCTCGTGCCTTTCAATAATAATCCGTGTGGAAAAAATATTGGGTGTCTCATCTTTCGAATGACATCGTCAGATTTATCAATAGATGAGCACAAATTGTTTATTTATAACAATAGACAAAACAAATGGTGATTTTCAACTTTTTTTTTTAAAGAATCCTTTAGGATGTCGGACCCGAAAGTTGTATTTCAAAAATATACTTTGACAAACTTTGATTTTTATTGTTAACCAATCCAAAATGGCGCCCAAATGCCTGAAATTATTGCAAAATCACAGTAATATGCACTTTTGAAGTATAATCAAAGTTGTAGCGGGAAAAATAACTTTTCTGAGTCTTTTGACAATAAATTGGATGTATATTAGCAAAATTAGCTTAGAAAATTGATTTTCAAGATGGCCGCCGTAATGAGCCAGCTAAAATAACGTACTTACACAGTTTTATAGACACTGTATAGTCTTCAATTCTCTTTATTCAATAGTCTTATGAACTATCAGCACCATTAGATCTAAATTCATTATTACCTTATCAAAATTCAAAATGGCGGATCCAAGATGGCGGACTTGGAATTCAGGAAAAATAAAAAATACAATCGTATTCTACGTGAAATTTGGAATAAAAATCCTTCTATTCACTTTCTCGGTCAGAGCCGCCATTCATAAATAAAAAATTATCAAAATACCAGAAATCGAAAATTCGCCTCCAAACTTACCAACCATGCTTTCAATAACAATAACGTTTGTTTAAGTATATTTTTGAAGTACAACTTTCGAGTTCCGCATCCTAATGGATTCTTTAAAAAAAATAAAAAAATCGGAAATCTCCATTTTTTTTGTTTATTGTTAAAAATAAACAATTTGTGCTCATTTATTGATAATCTAACGATGCCATTCAAAAGATGAAACTTTTATACCCAATATTTTTTCCACGCGGGTTATATTTGAAAGGCACGAGCTTGAAGTTGACGATAATATTTTGGCTATTTGTACGTTAAACGGTTAAGGTGAGTTCAACTCTGTTGAAAAGGAGACATCTGAACAAAAGTATCAAAGGTAAAAGCGAATACACGTATGTTCATACGTGTTTAACAGAACGGCGGTTAGATCTGCATCGTGGGAGTTTGTTCTTTAATAAACCCATTTTGTACCAGCTAATCCACCCCGTTACACTATATATTAGGTCGCATTAGATAAATAAATTTAATGAAATGGAGTTCACAAAATAATATACTCACGAATTATGTAAAATTATACTTTGGAGATTCATATTAATAAATGGCCAAATTAACCAAAATCAGTTTTAATATATGTAACGGAGCATCGGCCGTTCGCGCCTGGGTAGCTCGCGGCCATCCGCACAAATTATTTATTTCATGAATTCAGGAAGCAAAAGACGTTCTCACGATTGAATAACGCGTCGAGCATAACCACGTTAAACGCATGGATTAAGATTTGGGATGAGGAGTGACACAGCGGCTAATAAACACAACAACGGAGTAACATATTAATCCTTTACTCGTCAATGCTATACGAGTATTTTCAAGACGGCCATCTCACGCCGATAGACTACGAGCGGTACAGCAACAAATTACGAGCGCGAAGGTGAATCGGCGGTTGGTCAGCCTGTCGATTCACTTTTGAATCTAATTAACACAGTAAATACCCTATAACTAATTTCCGCCGTTAATGTGGCCGTCGGGGTAGTTGGCAGATCTGCCACACTACCCACCCATCAGCTGATGCCCAAACATTCATGAAAGAGGAAAAAAAGAACACGGAACCGACCTCGACTGTCAGTATATACTAATATTCAATTATTAATAAATTAAATCTCGGAGGAGTGCTACTCCGATACTAGGCAAATTAACTCGTGAATGGCTAATTCATTTATCTGCTAAATTCAAAATATAAATGGCTCAGCTTATTGTCATAGTCAAGGTCGTAGGTTGATAGGTAATCTATAGTTGGATTTAAGATAATTTGCTTCTGTTGGGAGCTTGATTCTCCTTCACTTGGACTCGAATGTATCGGAAACGAAATCACGACAAATACTTAGATAGATCGACAAGGCTAGAAAGGATAAGGCAATTGAGCTCATGGAACATAATAATATTTGAGCCATTTATTAATTTCCAGGAAAACGTGTGATTGTATAAAAATTAGAAATGAAATCGTGTGATGTGTAAATGTTGTACGAGTGTGTATTGGTTCGGCCTTAACTTTCTACGTAATAAAAATATTTATTTAATTTGGGAAACATAATTTAATTTAAATAATCACAAATAATGATTTGTGATTCATTATTAATAATTTAAATCAAGGAAAATTTGATAATCAGTAAAGTGAAAATGCTTTTAAAAATAATTTTCCACGGTTCATTCGTTAACAAGAAATCATTCAGAATACCGGCACGCTACGCATTTGCGAACTACAGCCAAGTGATTGTTTAAATGAGTATGCTAATGAAACAATTAGCCATGCAGTACTCACAAGTATTTAAAAGTGCATATTATATTTCACAATTAAGGCAAATCAATATAATTCGTAAGGTAATAACTGATCGATTATAAAATTATTTAAACAAAGTCACGGTGAGCACGAGCGAACTATGGTACATCCACACTTTAAAATTGTTTAACAATTACGAAAAATTTATTTGCGAAGCAGTACAGAAATTAGTTGGAATTAAAACATACGATCTAATTAAAAGGTAACGGCAGACTCTCGGCTTTTCCTCTTTCCTCATTTTCTACCTAGCCGCAAGCAGTAGATGCGAAGATTCATGATTTTTAGATAGTTCGTTTTATCTCCTCTTATTATTTCAGCGATGCTATCGGTTCATCTCATCCTATTCTAATACCAAGGCAAATTAGGCACTCGCGCTACCCTTTTCTATTTATTAAGCTATTTCTATCAGATGCTTGGATAGATAGCGTGACGAGTGGGCGTGGCCTATTCAATAGGATACTCATACGAATCCCACGACTCAAGCGCAAGATATACTATTTCTTATATTAAATAGAATATTACAGTGATGCCTATACGAGATTATGTACATCTTATATGTATATAAATATATATCAATTTATTCTAGGCTGGTATATATATATATATATAAATGTTTTTAACAAAGTAAGCGAATTGATAATAATTTTTAAGTTTATAGATTGTAAGTGTTATTATCTATGTAAATTGATGTTTTGTAAAAGGCTGGGAAGGCTATACATTGACAAATAAATAATAAAAAAAAGAATATAAATTAACTCCACTAATAACATTAAAAAATTTACTTAAACAAATATTTTTAATACGTTAAAATGTAATTTAAAGGTAATTTAAAAATGTTAATTCAAGTTCTAAAATAATCATGATGACGACGTCATGGAAGAAAAATGAGTTTCGAATGATGTAAAGTAACCCTAAAAATACATCAGTTGATAAAAATCACCAAAATTTATATCTTTGAAGGATCAGAACTTCAAAATATCGGAAAGATAGGGGTTAGGATTGGCTAAATCTTAATGTAGGTACCACATAGAACTACTTCTACCTCCTAAGATCTCTCTTGGCGATTGTCTCCTGGAGACCTTCCCTTATAAGGTAAATGTCATGACGCGTATTTTTAGCGGTATCCTCAGTAGACTTAATCCACTATAAACGTAAAATTTGTGATAGTGATGATGATATGAAAAATAGTGAGTAATTCTTAACTCACTATTAAAAAGCACCCCGAAGTAAGAGGCAAGGCGAATTCACTATAAAAAAGCACTTCGAAGGGACCAGATTCCTTCTACATCCACGTCGTTGTCCCTGGATAGCGCTAAAAGGAGGATCGGAAGTTACGATATCTTCGAACTTAAATCGTTCCCACACGTAAAATTTATCGCTCTTTTTGATTCTAGTATAAAAAATAGGGGTTTCCCTATGAAAAAATGATGTTGACCTTGAAATAACCTTAAAAATGAGGTTCAAGGTCAAATCAGAGGTCACCGTTGGGTTCCACGTTAAAAGTTACATAGGGGTTAAAAGTTACAACCCTCGTTTCATGACTAACCTCATGCGGTTTTCTGAATTTTCCGAGGTTTTCATACTTTTTCCTCACCCTGTATAAACTATCTATTACATACGAGGTGTGTTCAAAAAGTACTCGGAATTATCGTTTTTCCAAAAAAATATTTATTTATTCGTTGACATCAATGTGGTCCCCTTCAAAGTAATCCCCCCCCCCAGATATAATACACTTATGCCAGCGTTTTTTTCAATCTTCGAAGCACTCTTGATATTCACTTTTTGGTATGTCCTTGAGCACTCTCAGCGATTCGGCCTTTATTTCTTCAATCGAGGAAAAACGACGTCCTTTCATGGGTCTCTTCAACTTTGGGAACAGGAAAAAGTCACATGGAGCCATATCTGGTGAATATGGAGGTTGGGCACGACTACGGTATTGTTTTTGGCCAAAAAATTACGAACAACTAACGACGAGTGAGCAGGTGCGTTATCGTGATGCAAAAGCCATGAATTGTTTTTCCATAAATCGGGGCGTTTTTTTCGGATTGCTTCACGCAAACGTCGCATAACTTCAAGGTAATACTCCTTATTAACCGTACGACCTTGTGATAAGAACTCATGATGCACCACGCCCCTGCAGTCAAAGAAAACTGTAAGCAAAACCTTCACATTTGATCGAACTTGATGTGCTTTTTTCGCTCTTGGTGACGTTGAATGCTTCCAGGTGGACGATTGTGCTTTGGTTTCGACATCATAACCGTACACCCATGTTTCATCACCAGTTATGACCCTTTCAAGCAAACTTCGATCGTCGTTGACGTCGTTTAACAGCTCCTGAGCGATGTTCATGCGATTGTTTTTTTGGTCAAAGTTCAGCAGTTTTGGAATGAATTTTGCTGCCACCCGTTTCATGCCCAAAACATTTGAAAAAATGTTATGACATGAGCCAATTGATATGCCAACTTCATCAGCAACTTATCTAATTGTGATTCGGCGATCATTCAGAACCATTTTTTCCACTTTTTTCATATTTTCATCGATTGTTGACGTGCTGGGTCGACCGGAGCGTTCGTCATCTTCAACGTCTTCGCGGCCATCTTGGAAACGCTTATACCACTCGTAAACACTTGTTTTTTTTTCATAGCAGACTCACCATAGGCTGTTTGTAACATTTCACACACTTTGTTACACTTTATTTCATTTTTTACGCAAAATTTAATACAAATTCTTTGATCCATTTCTTTTAAAAAACGAAAATCGCCGAGCTTATAAAAACACGTGAAACCTTAGCGACTACCGCAGACAAAGTAAACGGTGAATATAGCTGAAAATTTTATCATACTTCAGGGGCATGTATACCAACACAATAAAAAAAAATTTTGACAATCGGACTCTCCAGATCCGTGAAATTTAAAAATTCCGGGTATTTTTTGAATACACCTCATATATTATAACTGGGTGGTTATTCTAGAAAATGAGAAATTTATTATCGCACAAACTCCCACGATGCAGAGCTAACCGTCGCTCCGTTAAACACGTATAGTTATACGTGTATTCACCTTAATGTTTGTTACTTTCGTTTCAGTGTCTTCTTTCCAATCGAGTTGAACTCACCTTAAGTCACCTGACTTGTGACACTCGATCTATCTTAGGTGTGAGTGACCTAATGCTTAATCCGATTAATCCCTTAGACGAAATCGGCTTAAAATTTAATCCGTGATTGATGCGTTAAACTATTAAGAAACGAAATGACGGCGAATAAAATTAATAATGTTTAATTCTAGAAAATTACAGTCTTTGATAGGCTGAAGACTAACACACGCTAATAGGATTAACCACTTGTTACTATTATATGGGGAGAGAGAGAGAGAGAGATGGAGAGAGAGGGAGGGAGAGGGAGAGAGAGAGAGAGAGAGAGAGAAATCAAAATTCTACCGCAAAAACTAACGCTCGGCGCGAATACAACAAAATTACGCTCGCGATAGACAAAATATTGTCGGAAGTATTTGGTCGTGCAATAATAGGGAGGTGCACCTACCCTGCGGTGCAATTACGGTGATCAGCCGTAAGTATTGAAGAAGATCAACGGTGCTCCTTGAATCAATCAGCTGCTCTGTCTCGATTACAAATATCTGCTGCTACTTGCTGCTGCTGTAATGCTGCTGCCGCTACTTCCTCGCTACACTCACGCACGTATCAAAATCCCAAGAAACTTTCGATTTGCAAAATAACGGCGAAACACAGTGCAAAAAACTAAATTGGCGGTACTCTCGCGAAAGCAGCTGAGGCTTAACTACCTATTTTCAAAACCTCGCGCGCCCTCTCTCTCTCATTCTTAGTCGTTCGAACTAATATCGTGAGTATACGAATCGCTATCGGATCGATTAATCGAATTGACTACTTGCAATATAACAAGTCGTTAGATTTAATCTTTTATCTTATTCAACAATCAACAGTTAAGAATAATTAAATGTTATATTTGTAAGTAATAAAAGTGTGAATAATATTTTTATTAAAGTTAATATTTTGTATTAAACAGTTTATAGTCTACCATTTCTTATAGAAACACAGTCTTTTAGGATTCAAAGATTGTTGAATATGTTAACATTAGCATATTATGTCTTAATAGTATCACAATAAATTAACTTGTAAAATAGTATTGTATTATTCTTTTTGTAAACTTTAAAAAAATATGTATTAGATCATTACATCACATTTTTATAATACGAAATATTATACCTTTAGCTAGAAATTATATTGTATCGACAATAAAAAAGACATTAGATATTAGAAAATGCAATAGAAAACGTATAATGGAATATTTTATATCGATGGACAATTTAAAAGAACTTCTTTCCAAAACTGCAATTAAGGAACTGAAAATATTTATTTTTACAAAAAAATGAAAACTGTTACTGTAATTATTCTTTGACCAATTTTCTCTTTGGGAAATTCTTTGCATTCAAAAGTTGTGCTAGGCTCATTTTAGTAGCTCCTTCATCTAAAATAATACCAGTAACATTTCTGCATTTAATTGTGGCCAAGCCGTCTAAAACACATCATATTTACTTTGTTCAGGAGTTTGCATTATAAACTCAATAGTATATATGTATATTTATCAAAATCATTGAATTAATCAATGATTCAATATTTTAAACATAACTGATTGATGGAACACACCAATCACGGTTACTTTTAAACCAGCTTCATATTCCAGGTCGCTGTAATTTGTAATCTCAACTTTGATTTTGACGATAGCATCAGTTATGGCAGCACTTCTAAAACTCATATTGCCAAAACGGCTATGAATAACCCTAAATGTTTGCTTTAGAAAGCCAGTAATAGCTGCAACATATTGAAAGTAAAAATATAATTTCAAAAATTGTTAAGTTAATAGAAACATGTAATACTTACATATAAGTTCACGGTCATGGTTCAATATACTCTCAAAGTCAACTACTATTGGCTCTATAGGAGGTGATGCTTCAGAAGCACTGACGACACGAAAGCCTAAGTAATCGATTCTCGTACTCTCCATAATAGTTATTTCCATAGGTACCAATTTTTCATCTTTCCTGTAATATTTTTTGGACATCCCATCAGTAATATGAAGGATCTGCAAGAATAATATATAAATTAGTCACTTATCATGCTAATTTATTCAAATAATTTTGTATTTATTTACTCTATTCATTTGAATATCATTTTCATGTCTGGCGATGACTTCATTCTAAATTACACATGAAACTTTTCTATTCCCATTAGTAAGAACAAATTTGAAAATCTTGAATTCCAAGTTTTTGCCAACTTTTTTGGTTACATGCAACTCATCCACGTAGTCTACAATTTCTCTGTAACAATGAAAATCAAAGATTCATTATTAATAAAAAGCATTATATTGTTATATTTAGAAAGCTATATTAAGCAAAAAAATAAAGATCCTTATGTTTTTTTGTCCCTGTCTATGAAACTATCAAACCCATCATCAGGTGACATCAAGTCTTCAACCATGAAGATGAATCGAATCAGACATATATATAATTAATATTTTTAATGAGAAACACTGCATTATATTATATCTTAATAGAAAAAGGTCTGCACAAATTTAACAATCACTATATAGTAATTATTGCTGTACAAATTTACACATACGATAAAAAAAGAAAATTACTTTTTTCTTTATATTATTTTCTTTATATTATACCCTCATACATATAATAAAAAGCAAGCTCCTTATTTGGTCACACTACGTAGATATATTTAAGGTTAAAAAAATGAATTTTTTTTTCACTTTTTCACTTTTTCTGAAAAGCAACGATTGATTATATATATATATAATAAGAAGCAAGAAATTGGCTCGTTAATTCATTTGAAATTAGATTTTTTGTAATCTTTGAAGTTATACATTACGTGGACATATTTAATGTTAAAAAATTTGAAAGATTTTGGCTCAAAAAAGGACAGTTTTATTTTTCATCATTCGTTGCTTTTCAGAAAAAGTAACGAACGATTATCACGGCAACAATAATATTCTAAAATACATAAAAAATTAGTTACTTTTTACTGAAAATCCAAGTTTTTCAAGTATCCTTTGTAGAACGTGTATACATTCCGGCGAAAGGTGGAGAAAGAATGGACGGAAATTTGAAAAGAAAAAGAACAAAAGGAAATGCAAATCATGCCATTTTTAATCATGCGCATTAAGACGTTAAACTCAGGAAACTAATCAGCTATAAGCATGGAGGGTGTATAAGCCAATTTCGACCATGCGAACAAAATTGATTAAAAGAAAAAAGTATATTTTAAAACTTTGATACATGACCGGAAAATTGAAATATAAACTAAAATTACTAATTTTTAGTTATAAAATAAGCAAATAATCAACACAATTTGTAATAACTTTAAAAATAGATTATCCTTAAGTATAAAAATTATTTAATAATTTTTAATACACACAAAAATTGTTAAACATTATTTTATGATGATACTGTAAATACAAAACTTTAGTAGACATCGTACAGTCAACAAATAAATCATTCTATTCAGAATACATTGTTTGGTAAAATTGTTTGAGTTTGTAATTTCGATTTGAAAATTTAAATTAAATAAAGGGGATTTTTATAATTTTAGTCCGAAATTAACCTTTAAATTATATTATCAGACTTTCTTTTAAGATTATTACATGTAATTATGATGTTAATCATTTAAAGTTAGTTTCTATAAAAAATCAGATTTCTAATTCAATTGAAATTAATTTGAATTCTCGCACTTTTTTCCGCCTCGATCAATTAGATTACGAATAAAATGCTTCAACATTTCTTCCATTACTATTTTCATAAGGGAAATACGAAACTTATTAATGGAATAATAATGATTCTAGAGAGAAGGTTTGGTCAGTATTTAATGGCTGTTTTTCCGTAATGAAATGGTTTTGGTTAACGATTCTCAGTAATCTATTTAATAGGTCCTCTAATCCTCTAATTAATTCTGAATAGGATCCTCACCATACAATTATCCCATAGGAGCAAATACTGCGAAATAGTGTATAGTAAAGGATCCTTAGTACGTTGGAATTCATTATTCTTGATACGTAGTTTGTAAAAGAAAAAAGATAAATATTTGGTCTTTTTGTAGATATTATGCAAGTGAAGTTTCCATTTCATGTTGTTATCAAAAATCACTCTTAGGTACTTAGTGTATTCAACTATATGTATTGTTATACCTTGTATTTTTATTTTCAGATTTTTAGGTGTGCTATTATAGTAGTTACCGAATTCAATATAAGCTGTTTTATCAATATTGAGTGACAGCGTATTAAGGGCTAACTATTTTCCTACTATTTCTAATTAATTGTTCATATTTGATTCTGATTCTTTCCAATTTTTACCAGTTGAAATGACTGCCGTATCATCAGGAAAAGATAGAATTGTATTATCTGGTAAGGCTTGTAAGATATCATTTACGAGGGTGGTCCGATAAGTACTTAGCCTCACCACCCGATGGCACCACTCTCGCAAAAGAAATATTCTATCACGTAGTAAAACCTTCTCGATGGTTACTGTCAAGATTTCAGCCGAATCGGAGTTGTAGTTTATTTTTGAGAGCGTGTGGAAGCAAGTGTGTCCGTTGATTTTTGAAAAATGGAAAAAAAGCAGTATTTGTCGGTGATTCGATTCTTGTTTTTGGAAGAGAAATAGCGCAGCGAAATCAAAAAGCGCTTGGATGCTGTGTACGGTGACTCTTCTCCTTCGATGGCGACCGTCAAAAATTGCTTTAACGAGTTTCAACGTGGTCGCACGTCGATTTTTGAAGAGCTACGTCCAGGTGCTCCGAAAACGGCTACCACGGAGGATAACGTGACAAAAATTCACGATCTCGTATTGCCAGATCGACGATTGAAGGTGCGCGAGATAGCTAAGATCGTAGGCATCTCAAAAGACCGCGTGGGTCATGTCCTGTATGAAATTTTGGGCATGAGAAAGCTGTGGGAGCGATGGGTGCCGCGATTACTCACTCCGGACAACAAGTGCAACCGTGAGACAACTTCAGAGCAATGTCTAAGCGCAATCCAAAGGAGTTTCTGCGTCTTTTCGTGACAGTCGACGAAACATGGACCCACTGGTATACACAAAAGATCAAGGAACAGTCGAAACAGTGGACTTTGCCCGGCGAAAGTGCTTCGAAGAAAGCGAAGACTGCCCCATCGGCCGGAAAGGTGATGATCACCGTTTTCTGGGATTCACAAGGTGTGATCTACATCGACTACCTGGAGAGGGGCAAAACGGTCACAGGGCTGTACTATGCCGAATTACTGGGCTGATTCGACGTCGAATTGCAGAAAAAACGGCCCCATTTGGCGAAGAAAAAAGTGCTCTTCCACCATGACAACGCACCGGCTCACACCTCCGCCGTCGCCATGGCCAAATTGGTCGAATTAGGCTACGAACTGCTGCCGCATCCACCGTATTCTCCAGATTTAGCCCCGTGCGACTTCTTTTTGTTTCCAAACTTGAAAAAGACAGTCGCCGGGCAGAAATTTGAGTCAAATGAGGAGGTAATCGCTGCCACGGAAGCCTACTTTTCAGACCTCGAGGAAACGTATTTTTCAGACGGGTTAAAGAAGTTGGAGCATCGCTGGGCCAACTGTATCGAACTAAAAGGAGACTATGTTGAAAAATAAAACGCCACTTTTCCAAAATTTTCGTTTTTCTGTTGTAGGCTAAGTACTTATCGGACCACCTTCGTATATAAATTATGAAGAGCATTGGTCCTGAAATTGTACCTTGAGGAACTCCCATCTTAACTTCCTCAGTATTACTGAGTATATTGTTGATTTTGTCTCTTTGTTTTCATTTGCTTAGATAGCTTTTAATTAGATTGTGGATACTTCCTCTTTTACTATAATTATACTCGTATAATTTATCAAGTAAAATTTTATGATAAACCGTGTCGAAAGCTTTGACTAGTACGAAAAAGAGTAACTATGGGATCACTAGAGTCCAGTTGTTTATAAATTAAATTTGATATATACTAGAGAGTATCTTTGGTTCCTTTATTTTTTGCAAATCTAATTGTTTTCTTGATATTAAGTTGTAATAGTCTATAAATTTTGTAAGTTTTTTATGAATGATTTTTTCAAAAATCTTAGCAACGTTGGAGATCAAAGATATTCATCTAGAGTTTGTTGGTAGACATTTTTCTTTTACTTTGTAGATCAGTATAATTACTACTTATTTTAATGCATCTGGCCAAATTTCTGTTTTAATGCTAGTATTTATTATATGAAGAATTAATGAAGTAATAAAGTTTATTAAAGTTTTTAGGACAATGGTTTTGATGTTATCTATTCCTCCATTTTTTTTCTTCATTTTACTAATTATGTCACAAATTTCATAATTGTTTGTTGGATACAGAAATAACTTTCTAGGGCTCATAGTAGATATGGTGATATTGTTATTTTGTGGAGCAGAAATTTTATTGCTTAGTTCCTTACCTATATTACAGAAAAAATTATTCATTTTATCTGCAATTTCTTTTGAATTTGTTCTTTTTTTGTTGTTATCAATTATATGTTCAATAGTTTTGGTTTTCATTGATCAGTTTCTTATCAAAATTTTCTTTAGCTCTGTTGATTGTTTATAATTTTCATTTTTTATCTATGTTATTGGGGTCATTACGCCAAAATTTGCAGAATTTTTCTTTAGTTTTACATGTAAGAAGTATTGCTTTAGTTATCCATGATTTTCTTGGTTTCATCTACTTGATTTTTGAAGTGGTGTTATTTATTGTTTATTTAGCGCTTTTTAATACAACGTTGTATATTGTCTATTAATTTATTGGTTGCTATGTTCAGATCAGTTACAGATGAACTATCATTTTAATGTATCGTCTTGGCGGTAGTTATCAGTTTTTAAAAATTAATATTGTTCTTGTGTTTTGGTAGGTCAATATTTTTATTCAAGCAATCCAGAGACATTAAAAGAGGATAATGATCATTAAGGGGAATTGTAAGTAGATAATTCCTGTGATTCGAGTTTTTCGATTTTATGTATATGTTGTGAATGCAAATACTTTTGTTATGATCTAAGGACGGTCGAGTAATACTACTAAATCCTGGACTATATCCATTTTCTAATAGGACTTGTAGAAATTCTTGATCAATTATGCCATCACATAGGATATTGAAGTTGAAATCCGCCAGCAAGAATTGTATTTTTGTTTGTTGTATTAACTTTTAGAAATGACTTCAAGTTCATAAAAAATTCAGTCTCATGCATGTCATGTGATCTGTATATGGCTGAGAGTAGTAGCTTGTTATTATTTTCCATGGTAATCTTAGAAATTAGTCTTT